CCCCCAGCACCACCTTGTGCATAGCGTCCAGCTGCTCCAGGTACTGCCGGGTATCTGGGTCTCCGTAGTGTAGGTGGATGGCGGCGGTAGCGGCGTGGCAGGCCTGGGTGATGACGGCCCCCAGCGGCCATGACAGCTGGTGGACCAGATCCGAGCGGACCACCACGTACTGGACCAGCCGGCTGGGAGCGCCGGCACCAGGGGCGGCCATCTTCAAGCTGTGACCGGAAGCTGGTTTGTTTATGTTCCGGGTTTGAGTGACGTCACCAGAACAGATTTTAACACCGCCCCCTAGCGGTTTGTTTTTATTCCACTACTTAAATAATCGCTGTAGATAAATGTATGCTTGAAAAAATAAAAATTTTTTCTAATAATCATAAATAAAAAGTAATTTAATTTTTACTGCCTGTATATCAAAGAATTGAAAATAGTAATATTTAATGAAGAGTTTTGCATAGCAAATCATTTTTGTTTTACTCTTCAGGTAAACTGTGGCCTAAATAAAAATGTTAATACCAAAAATAAAAAAAATGAACATTAAATTTTAAATAGAACAATACTCTTACTACTAACTCTACTTTCACTAATCCTACCAATATATATATGGTAAATATACTACCACTTCCAATAATAATGCAAATATTAATTTATAAAAATTGAGCAAAAAAAAAAAAAAGTTTTCTTGCTAATTAATGACTATGTCCTAAAATAATAGTAACTAGTGAACAACAAAAAAAGTATCTATTTGAACTATAAATTTTAAATAACTTTATATATTATTGCTACTGCTTGCACTAATTTTAATGATTGTTTTATCACTAGTAATGCAAATAATTTTTCATATGAGTTATTGGATAATTCAGAATCCAATATAACAAAATTATTGGATTCAGTTACATAACTGATTACTGATTATTACAGTACTTTATTGAATATTATACAATGATTAAAAATAAGCTTTTATCTCTTGCAGCTAAGCAATGAATCACTACAATAATAATATCACTAATGAAAAACTATTTGTTATATTGAGGAATGTGGAGGACTGCAATAATTCATTGTAGCCTAAATGGTACAAAAACATGTTATATTAATTCTAAAATAAATTAAATTCTAGCGCTACCCTGCTCATGTTAGCTCTTATGTTCCGTTTTGTCAACTTTTATTCATAATTTATTGGTTGAATCATTGAATGTTTGGACGGTTTTAGACGCTGTGCAGCTGGAAAAATTTATTCTCTTTCAAACAGCAACAGTCTTCCATCAGAGGCATCTTCAGATTGTTGCAACACTGACTGCTACTGGAGATCCTTAAAAAAAACCCTGCACTTTCATTCAAAAATTCAGACAGATAAATGACAGACACGCACAGCGAAATGTCACAATAAGTCTTTATTAAGCATACACATTATATTATAAATATAAAATGCTATTTTTGTTTTTAAAATCGGTGAGACATCATTATATCTGTGTTGAGACAGACAACCATACAAACAGGTTTTAATATTCTACCAAAATCTGCTGAAACGTCTACGCAGCTGTAACAAACCGTCCTAAAGTCCAAGCCTGTTGTCATGGTAACTGATCTAGGATCAGGTGAATGTCACCAGAAATGAGGAGGGGAACTGGTCCTGGATCAGCCCTCCTAGTCTAAGATGCTGTGTGCAGTAGACCCACATACAGAGAGAGAGAGAGAGCACAATAACCTACCATTTATTTCTTTATATACATTTATTCTCACTTTAATCCAACTATGGCATTTAGCAGCATGATAACGCACCACTCGGTGTTTCCTAGCTCAAAGAAACCGCAACAGAAATCAGAAAGTAACAGAACCAAATCAACATCGAACGTACGGATGATTATCGTCACTGTACTAAGAGAGAAACTCGTCCACAGTGAGCCAATCAAATCAGGTCGGAGTGATGATCGGGCCGGGCTCAGTTCACGCTCCATCCACCGGCTCTGCCAAAAGTGGGAATTAATGACATCAGGTTCTGTGCGTTTCACCGATTCTCCAACTGCAGCCGCCTGAATCCGAGGTGAACTGACCCCAAAGCCCCAAGATGACAATAACAAATAGTTTCAACATTTTTCTCTTTTTTTCTCTAATGCTTTGTGTTTTTTTAATCTCTTTAAGTTTGGTTGACATGCTGAATCCTTTTAGAAGTTCTGGTCAGTCAAAAGGAAAAGTACTGGGCGAACCACTCCTGGCGCTGGGCGTCGGCCGGGTCGATGGGCGAGTCCTTCGTCTCAGGAGGGCTTCAGGAGTCGCACAAAGTCAGACAGGAAGTCAGAGTTAAATCACAAACGGGGCAGAGCGTGACGGAGCAGTCCAGAGTTTAATTACATTCAGATTCAAACAAACTTCAGAAAGTCTGGCTGCTTAGGAGAACAACTGCTGCTACATTTTTCAGTAAAAACGTTTTTTTGTATCTAATTGGATCCGAGTAGAACTTTGGATTTAATAATCTGTTGTTTAGATTTAGGATTTCTCAGACTAAACTGACGTCTTTCAGCACCAAACAGCAACACATTAACAGCTCACGATTATTCTATTAATCGATTATTCTGATGATTAATTGATGCTTTCTGCAGATTTTACATTAGACAATTTCTGCAAAATCAGATATACACAAGAAAATGCAAATGAAATAATTTTTTTAAATAAAATGTCTAAAATGCGACAACAAAGCGTGACTTTAGAAACTCAATCATTTGTGGCAAATAATGAATTAGCTGCTAAAAATGCTTCTAACATCAACAAGTGAAAAATTGTAGGGCTGATCTATTGATTATTTAGGATATTTTTATTTTTACAGAGTTTGAACCAGGTGAAGTTGGGTGGAACATATTTACAGACAATGTTTATTTTTTAAATCTTAAATGCAAAATTTATTTATTGTTTTGTAAAGTTTTGAGTTCATTTCTGCTCTGAATGTTATTTCAGGAAATTATCTTTTTCTAGAGTCTTTATACTTCAGTTAATGATTACTTCAATAATCGATTAATCACGATTAATTGTTTCAGCCCTGAAGATGGTGAGCATGCAGTGCACAGCTCAGTCCACCAGAGGGCAGCATAACACAGCTATGTGATACAGGAGCACCAGATATCAGAAGCTGAGGAAACCAAACATTGTTTTTTTTATAATTTTATTAACTAAGAAGGAAAAAATAAGTTGGTCAAACCAACCAGGTGTGAAAAAGTTAAAGCTGCTAAATTTAATAACTCTGCCGCCATCAAGTGTTTGTGACAACTTGGGTGTTTTACATCTGTGGAGAAATTTTTCCCCCGTTTACAGAAAGAACTGTTTTAATTCATCCTGTTCAAGGCCGAGACCCAGACCATCACACTGCCACCACCGTGTTTGACTGCATCAAAAATGCTTTTTTTTTCTGAAAACCTTCGCTGGTTCAACGACAAGTCAAGCATGAACTCTTCAAATAATTTCAGGTTTGAAATCAAAATTTTAATCATTTAAATGTGACAAAAAGTGATAAGAAGAAATCTGTAACAGGGAAAATGCTTTTTTAGTTTTATTTCACAATCTGCAACTGATTCATTAGAAATGTGAATTTTCTTTCTTCTCGTTTTACTTTGAGACACATTTTGATGCTTTACGGTATTTTTATCCATGTGACGACAAGAAGCTGCAGTTTTAATCTTCCGCGCGTCTCTGGGGTGAAAATTGTTCCCAAAAGTTTCATCTAATTAGGTTAAGTGCTAAAAACAAACACCTACTTTAGGCGTTCCTGCTTCCTTAATTGGCTACTTCGAAAACAAACGGTCCCAGAATCCCTCAGTGACATAAAAGTTTTTTGCTGTTTTTCATGTTCAAGAAAGCAAATCCCTTCCCTGCTGACTTCAGCATAATGAATCAATCTGAAGCTCTAGAGCGTCGTTTAAACCGCCAGATAATAAATATATTAAATTAGTTTAGCAGATTTCTTTTCACAAGACAACAAAGTTTAGAGGACAAGTTGTGCAGAAAAAGAGGAAATGTAAGGAAAGAGGCAGAAAAAGGGAGGGAGTAACGTGGAAGAGGCAAGAAAAAGAAATTAGAGGATGATAAATGAACATCGCAGGAAGCTAGAAGAGGAGTGGGAGGATGATAAGAGATGATTAAGTGATTTTTCTTTGCTTTAATGGCCGAGAGGATGGAAGATTCCCAGAAATCCTGCAGAAACTCAAATTACCTCGGCTAAGATTTTAAATTAACAACCTCAGCTCTTTCATTCGCTTTGGAAATTCAAACAACGTGAAAATAACTGATGCAATCAATCCCTGGAATAAGCTTCATCCCACCTGAGAACAGAAACTAACGCAAGTAAAATGGAGATGAATGAGGATCTGGAGTCACTTCTCTGCAATTTTACAGCCAATCACAGCGACTGAACTTGAAGCAACTTTTGACTGGACGCTTTACATCGATTTATAAACAGATAACTAAGACTTAAAGGTGGCTTATTGTGCTTGAACATGTTTGAATAGGTCTGTGGTCTAATCAAAACATGTTAATCAAAATTGTTTTGCACAAAATCCTTCTTGGATATCCTTTCAGAATGAGCTGTTTTAGAGCAACCTGTCACTTTAAATCCAAACAAGTTGCTGCTGGCCACGCCTCCCAACTCAACTTTGCAAACAGACACACAATTATACAACTGTACATGTTTGAAAAGCAGAAGTGGAGCCGCCTGCACAACCAACAAGAATGCAGCAAGCGGTTTCTGGATGGTAAGTCAACAACAAAATACTCACAGCAGTAAAACCAGCTGACCAAACATGCAGGCACTCTGTTTGGGTTGCTAGGTAACGGGCTGGCTTCGCTGGGGTTGCTAGGTAACGGTGAAGCGCCTTTGGAATGCGACATAACAATCGGGAAGTTTTTGAAACTCGTTTTCCAGACACCAATAAACATTAATCTACTTTTTAGCGCCTGGGCTGTTCTGAGAAGCAGCAGAAATCCAAATGGAAAAATAAAAACATGCAAAATGTGAATTTTAAGTGAATATATGGAATTTCTTTCATTGCCTTCACCTGGTTTCCTTAAAAAACAGCTTCCTTAAATAAAAATATATTAATGTCATATAATTACAGATAAGACATACAGAGATGGCAATTAGCATAAAGTTATTTGGTTTTAGAACACTGGGAATTTAAAAGTAAAGGTCATTAAACTAAAACGTGGCCATTTATTCATTATTTTTTTACTAAAATATGAAAAACAGACTAAAAGCTTCTTTAGTGCCAGTTTTCAGACTGATAAACACTGATAAAAATGTAAAGATGAACTAAAATCTACATTATCGGACCTCAGACTTTAAGGTGGCAGTGTGTTAATGTGTTGCTGGTACAGTAAATTAGTTTTTTATAGTTAAAATCATTTAGGTGTGTGTGAATGTTTGTGAGGAGAAAGTGTTTGTCCCAAGCTTTTGCAAAGCAGCCATCTTGTTTCGTTCCTGAAACGAACTGCAGGAAAGCATGCAGCACACATGCTCCACACCTAAACACTCCCGTCAGAAAACACCAGCTGCCATGCAAAAAGATCCACGGCGTGTGTTCATGTGTCACTTAATTCATCACCTAGATGCCACAAAACAAAGAGAGTCGCTTGTTGGACAGCAGAGTAGAGCTGTTTGAAGGTCAGAGGTCACAGAAACAACAGTTCATAACTTTTTATGACAACAATCATCATGTTTCGGAGCCGGGAAGGAAAGAGCATCATGCTGAACTGTGGATGAGGATGAAAATCACAAAATGACAAAATGCAACAACATAAAGGAACCACAAAGATTGCTGACAAGTGTTATAACTTCCTGAAACAAAAGACAAACCTGCAGGCATGCGGACAACATTTACACACTGACGCACACGACTGAGGAAAGAAAACTTAAAGGGAAAAACATCATGCTCCTTTTGCATTCCAACGCCATTCTTTGAAGCTCCAGTCGCGTGTGGGACTCTTGTGTTTGTGTCCATCTGGTATTTCTGCTCCTTAAATGTTTGTAGTTTATTTACGGAGCTGTGCTGCAGCAGGACGCAGTCAGCGGTGAATTTCAGGACTTGTTAGGAGGCAGAAAGTAATCTCCAGGTTTCTTTAGCTGTATGTTTGCTGAACCTCCTTGTTGAAGAGGAAAACTGAGTAAAACACAAAACTTAAGTGATCAAAAAAAACTATAAATGAACTTTATGTAACTATAAGGAACAGTTTATCCACTAGTACTGCCCTGGAAGCCTAATTTTACATTTAAAATGTACAAATTGCATTCTGTTTTTTTAATTTGTTTTAACCAGAAAGGCAAAAACAAACAAATTTAAGTTATTATGGAAAACAAAAGGCGACTAAAATAGCAAATACTGAACTGAAAGTTTTAAAATTGTTAAATATTTTTGCCTTTTTGCAATAAAGAAACTTTTATGTGATTTTTTTAAAGCAATTTTAGTTATGAAGTTTTGATATTTTGTGAAATGTGGAAGCTAATGCAGCCGAAATAGCTAATGCTAACATTAGCCACGCTAAACAATAATCATTCACTTAGCTTATTAAATATAAGTAACTGCATTAGCTAGCTAAACTTCAGAAAGGGTTTGATATAGAATTTGACAGGTATTTTGTTGTTTTTTTCTCACTTTAATGCTAAAAACTTTAGCAAAGATTACCTAATATGCTAGCATCGAAAGTGTTAGCATGTTAGCACAACAGTAGCGCAGACAATTTTCAACAAATCAAAAATAAAACAGAATTAAAAACTATTATGTTTAGTTTTAGAATTGAAAATGTGTTAATATAATGCATCAGACAGAAACTTGAGGCTGTTTTCAGTAAAATAGTAAAATTTTATATTTTTGATTATGCTTTAATGCGTTTACATTAAACTATCAGTAAATTTATATTAAATAACATTTTAAAAATGTGATTTGTTGTTTTTGTCCAATTTACTTCTAAAAACAATGTTATGTCAGATAACGTTCATTAGCATGTATTAGCATGCTAAGCTAAGAACAGTAGCCAAAAGTTACTCGCTTTTCAGGTCAGTTTACAGCCATAGTTCATTAATAAAACAATAGTTCATTAATAAATGTTGTTCACCTTACAGGTGAAAATAATTAAACTCCTATTTAGTCCATTTGAACTAATTGTATTTATACAAAAGTAAGTAAAAAAATGGTTCAAAAATCCACGTAATAAAACACCAATCAACTCAGTGGAATCCATATTTATTGGTATGGAGGCCAAAAATGTCAAATTGACACTGTTCTGAAGTTTTTTAGTTTTCTGTCTAATTGTAACTGCAAAAGCCATTTTATTTATTTTTTACCTGCTAAATAAACTAAACAAACTGTTTGCTCCGAACATGGAGGTCAGCAACATTTAGGCTCTTAGCTATGCTAACTTTTTAAAAAGATTCTCAGTCTGAATGCACAGAAGTGTAAAAATACTCAAAATACTTTATTCTAGAATCAGATTTTTTTTCACAGTAAAGGCGAGATCCGGCTCAGAAAGTTTCCGTCGGACGGTCAGCGCTTGCCGAGCCGCCGCCCGCCGGCGGGAAAAGTCTCACCTCATGAACTTCTTGGGTTCGGTGGGAGGGGTCGGCGGGGCTAGAGGTTTGTTGGAGTTGAGCTCCAGGTGGTGGAGGGGGGGGTTGGGGATGGGCTCTAGGCGGCTGGGCAGTGGAGGGGGCGAGGTCTGCGGGGTCTGCCCGGTCCCCGTGCCTACCACACCCAAACCCAAACCTGCCGCCTCCAGAGCCCTGAGATTAGGAGAGCTGCTCAACCTGCTGGCTGCTTTCTCACTCTTTTTCTTTTGCTACACAGAAACAGAGAACAGGAGGGGCAGCGGGGTCAAAACGGGAACGTCAGAGGAAAATATTCAGATGAGGGAGGGGGAAACCAGACGGAGGTCCAGAGCAGGGCTGTCCAAACTTTTACAGTCAGGGATGAACTGTGGCGGTACGAGCAGAACCGGGCAGGAGCTAGGAACATTTACTCAGTTACATTTACTTTTAGAAGGATTTTTACCTTTTATTTTTTCTGGAGTAAAATGTTTGGATTCACTGAATGAAAAACAAACATGTTTTAACCAAAAATCCATCAGACGCAGACAAACAGCTGCAGTTTTTGTTAAAGTTTCATAAGTTTTATAATAAAAGAAACTGATTAGGAAACATCTTATTTAGCCTAATTTTATTTTTTGTTACTTATATGAATTATTGTCAGTTTTGTATTCAAAATACAAAAAAATTCTACTTAACTTTATGTTTTGCTCCAGATGATTATGTAATTTTTAAATATGAAATGATGATTTGATCAGTAACTCAGTTCTTGAATATACTTTTTACTTTTACTTGTTGGAGTAGTGCTACTCCTGAGTATACTTTTTGTGTAAAAATATTCCATTTTAAAAAACTGAATATACAATATTTTAATAAAACGTTCGAGCAGAAATAATTTGCAGATCATTGTCGATGTTTTCTAGGAGAACCCGATATGAGTTTTTCTTTTTCTAGTTCTTATTTAGTCCAGTTTCATAAATGGGTACATTTTACAACTTTTACCAAGTTTCTGGATGCAACTAACGATTATTTCAGTTATCGATTAATCGATTAATCGTTTTTCTTGGATAAAAAAAAATTGGAACATGCAGCAGATTTCTCCATTTAACCTCTTTTTGGACATCCCCGCTCTGGAGGGAGCAGAAACCCAGCAGAAATCCAGCCGATGAGCGACAGGAAAGAGCAGCGGCTAACTTGATCCTAACAAATAGTGATTGAAGCAGACAGCATGGATCAGTCTGGAGGAAGCAGCAGTCGCTCTGAGCAGAATGAAGAGATGAGTCAAAGCAGGAAACATCTCGCTCCAGCAAATGGCTTGGAAAGCAAAGGAAAGCTGGAATCAAGAGGCGGTTAGGAGGGGCGATCGAAGAGTCGCACACAACGAAACGAACAAAAGGAGGGACAGAAAACGTACAGCGGAAAAAATACACGCAACGACAAAAAAACAAACACTGGAAGTTATAAAACTTGTGCTGCTGTTGACATTAAAACCAAAAGTCCAGGAGATTTTAAACTCAAAGGTGGCAACTTTTTATCTTTCTCTGATGTTTTATAAGATATACTTGCATGTGAACGACGTCTAAATAAACTAAACCGTCTTCAAGCTGTTTACCAAAAAAAACTTGTAACAGTTTTAAGTCATGAAAAAGTTTTAAATCTAATTTATTTGTGAATAAAATAAAAAATTGTAACATGTATTTGTATTCAGAGCCAGTAGAGCTGGACTTAAAGTTTTATCATGACATTTTCAGGTATTATTATGACAAGAATATGAACTATTTATTACATCCTGTTAGGTCAGAGTATGACTGTGTGTCACAGCAAAAACAGCCCCACAAACACAAACACTGCTGAAAAACATTCCCATTTCTAATGCACCATTTCAGGAGTAGCTTTATTTTCAATTTATTTTGAATAAACCGTGGAGAAAACGAATGACGAATCAAAATTCTTAAGGAATTAATCACAATAAACGAAACGATTCCTATGCTTTGCAGAACCACTGTGTGTTTTAAACTAATGCTGAGTTCACATGCCAGGTCTGGATTCTTACGAGGTTGTTCATGTTACTAACGAAATGAGACAACAGATTTCTTACGACCCCAAAGCGACTCGAATGCACAGAAGAAGAAGAAGAAGAGGAAAAAGAAGAGGAAGAAGAAGAGGAAGAAGAAGAAAAAGAAGAGGAAGAAGAAGAGGAAGAAAGAAAAGAAGAAGAAGAGGAAGAAGAAGAAAAAGAAGGAAAGAAGAAAAATAAAAATAAGAAGAAGGAAAAGAAGAAGAAGAAAAAGAAAATAAGAAGAAAAAGAAGAGTAAGAAAAAGAAGAAGAAGAAGAAAAAGAAGAGGAAGAAGAAGAAAAAGAAGAAGAAGGCCAACGTCACACATCAGCGCTCGGTTTGCAGAATAATGGCCGCCATCGTCTGTGGATTGATTTTAAAGTCCAACAAGATGATGAACAACGTAAAAGTCGGATGAAACATGACATGACGCTTTGAAAACAATCGGTTATGTGTCTGATTAATAACATTTGTATAATTGGCTTAAATCAGATTTTTTGGCGGTGAAAAGATTAAACTTGTGAAAAAGTTGCAAAAAAATCTGATTGAGTCGCAGTCAGCTGCCTAAGCTACTCCATGGTAGCTCATATTTTTATGTTTTGGTTCTGCTGGAAGTTATGGCTTATGGCTTTCTTCCTGCAATTCTTCCTGAATACAAATGCATGCCACATTTTTTAGGTTTTAAAAATAAAATTTGTGGTTGCGATGTGGAAAATGTTTGAGTGTAAAGCGTTGAACATTCTGGCTGCCTGACCTGCAGATAAAACGCTTCATGGCGTCGTTTGTTTGGCGTCACAGCAGGGGGGCAGGACCTACCTTAATGAGAGGGTTGATGACTCCTACGTTTGGACTGGCGTTGAATACTTTGTTGAAGTTTGTCTCCCTGTTGACGAGTTCCAGCTGGTAGAACTTCTTATCGTCCTGGAGGAGAATCGGAGTTAGCCGACAGGCAGCGGAGCAGCAGAGACTCGCAGGGGGAGAGCAGACATTTCATTTCATCTAATAAGTTTGTCCATGCGAAGTTTTCCAACTGAGACGCAGAGTTGGCTCTGCAGCTTTTCCTGCATTCATAAAATCTGCAGAAACAGCTGCTGACTTTTCAAACCGGCACTTTCAGTTTAAACTTTTCACCTTTCAAAGAATCTGGTTATTTATTTATTCCTCTTGCATTTGACTTTCAGATTTTTTAAACTTATTACTGGACAAAATTCTGTTTGCTGTTTCTAAACTGCTGAAACAGTTTTTTTTGCAGCTGCTGTAGGAGAATACACACACACACACACACACACACACACACACACACACACGTTCTCTAAGGATTTTGCCTCATGAAAATTTGTACAAACCAGTAAGAAGTCTCACTTGTCTATAAATATCTCACAAAAGAAGTGCTAAAACCAAACCGTGTCTCAATCCGAAGCTGGTCCCTCATTCACATAAAGTAATATGAATGATTATGAAACATTTAGGTGAGATACAGCTACATTTTCTTTTTGCAAAGATAAAAGTCAAAAATTTTTCATTTTCTCGGTTTCTTACCACCAGCTTCTTGACCAGAGATTCTCTCTCGGTGACCATCTCCTTCAGCTCGGCGATGACCTGCAGGTCTTCAGGTCGACTCTCTCTGTTCCTGAACTTCTCCTCTGTTCCCTCCAAACTGTGGAGAACAAAACAAGACAGCTCGTCTTTGAAAAGCGAAAGTGGAGCCTCCTGCACAACCAACAAGAATGCAGCAAGTTATTTCTGGTCGGTACGTCAACAACAAAACACATCACTTTTCTAGTGGCCATTGTACAGCAGTAAAACCAGTCGACCAAACATGCTGGAACTCTGCTGGGGTTGCTAGGTGACGGGCAGAACTCTGCTGGGGTTGCTAGGTAACTGTGGATAGCGACTTGATAACTGGGAGGTTTTTGAAGAGGCTCGTTTTCCAGTCACTGAAAAACATTAACTTACTGCCCCAAAAAAAAAAAAAAACAGTTGGGTGTTTTTTTTAAGCACATGATCTGTTTTTATGACCCAAACAGAAGTATAAAAAGCTTCAGGATGTAATTTTTGCATACTAAGTTCTCTTTAAAGCCAGCAAAAGTGCCACTGCATGAAAAACATAATCTTGAAGTTTTGGATATCTCCAAGTTAAAGTACAGATCTATGTATGTTCTGTGTCTCTGCTTGTGTCACAGAACTTTTCCAATGTCTAAAATACCAAACTGAGGATTATAAGCCTAAATGTTCAACCAACAGCCGTTGCATTTGCTTAATCTTTCATATCTTCATACAACATTAAAATCAAAAGGCAGATTTGCTATTCCTGTCCCTTGATACATAGCCGTAACTTTGACATCGGCCAAAAAAGTAAAACCAGTCCTGGAAAGTCAAACGGTGGATGATGGATTTGGATAAATTTTCTGAAACATTGTTGCTGCAGATGATCTCTAAAGCCATTTCTGACACAAAGCATGTTGGTCTCCAGTTATTAGGAAGACTTCAACATGATCAGAGGATGGAAGTTTCTGTCATTCTCAGGTGGGAAAACAGAGATGAATTTTCCTTCACTGAAGAAGAAGAAATTCTCACATCTGCAGGACTCAATGAGGTTTTTCCCACCAGCAGATGATTGGTGCCATTTCTTGTGTGAGTAGAACAGAAAACAACGGGGAGAAAATAGCTGTTGGCTCATCTTAGTGAATTCATGCCCAAGTGTTTTACTAGCAGCTTGAACTTAATCTGAATTTGCTAAGAGCAAAAAGAAACTGAGGCCAAATGTTCAATGTGGAGCGATTTTGCACATGAATGCAACAATGTAAGCATCCTTTCCTGAGCCTGAGGAACCAGGGGAGCCTCGGTCACGACCGGGCAGGACGTCCGCTCCATCCCAGGCATTATGATGCTTTTTCCTATTCAGGCTTCGGTTTGTTTGCAAACCATCAAGCTGGTTTTCTTCAACACATCCTGCAGGGTGAAAATCCACTGCAGGAGCCGCTGGTAAGAAACACGGCCCTCAAACGAGTCAGTGAAAACAACAAGAGAGGATTTCAGTCGATGAATTGAAACTCGCTTTGAGGTAAACATTAATTTCAGGAGGAAAAACTGTTGTTGTGTTTTTACATTTCCTACCAGTACAGCAGCTTTTGTTGCAAGGCCTTAACGTTTGCTGTGTAGACGCAATATTTAGCCAAAAACAGGTTAAAGTTAGAGCTGAAACGATTAATTGATTGTTGAAATATTCATCAACTAATTTAGCAATCGATTAGTCATTCCTAGAGTAAAAAGACTCAAAAAAGACTATTTGCTGAAAGGACAACATATTCAGCAGTAATCAAATCAAAACTTTACAAAAAAGTATATAAAAAACGCTTAAGTAGAAAAATATATAGAATGCGCCATGTTTTTATTGATTACTCGATTAATCGCCAGAATATACGATAGAATAATCAATTACTAAAATAACCATTAGTTGCAATTGTAAAATGAATGTTTCTTCTCAGTTTGTGCCTTTTTAAAATCTGGTTCCACAATTTTTATGAACCTGAGAGAATCCAAGGGATAGACTCACATTCCTTCGCTTTCGATTTAACGATTAATCGGATTCATTACGAAGAATCGATTATAGAAATAATAATCAACTAATCTAGTGAAACTGATCAGGCAAAGGCTAAAGGAATGCATTTCAGTGAATAAAATGCTTATTTTCTTATTTATTTAGTTTATTTTAATCTTTTAATGTATTTCTAACATTGTACAAAAGAGTTAAATGAAAAATCTCCAGAATATCCATTTGTTTTATCTGATTAATTGTGAGAATAATTGATTAATTGTGCGATGGATAGATTAATCTATACCTAAAATAATTAAAATAATAAGAAGTTTACATGAATCTACAGATTATTGTAAAGAGGAAGACAAGAGACAGCAGAACCAAAGATGCAGATGAGCTGAAGGTCGATATAAAAGCAAACAACTTCAAACTATTAACTGGCAAGAGGCGAGAGACACCAGACGACTCAAACTGAGGATCTGGTTTTTGATGTGAAATATACATTTTTAAAGAAGTTTTCATAAAAGAAATCTCAGAAAAAAACTGCAACGACCCTGTGAAGAGACTTTAAAGACGAGTCAAGAATGGAGGAGAGTTTTCTGAAACAAAGAGCGAAACAGAGCTGAACTCTCAGAGGCTTCAAAGTGTTTACAAACCGTCGGCCTTGGCTTGCAAACTGTTGCCTCAGGCTTCCTTTAGCCTTTTTTATCATTTCAAAGATGAAAATATATATAAAAAAAACTTTACTGGATGTACACCTTTAGGAAATGTAGAAAACTTTTATTTAGTTTGTAACTTACAGTGAAAATCTGGATCAATATTTACGTAGAAGGTTGTTTTTGTGCACACAGTGATTAACGGTCGATGATTAGTGAAGGCTGCAGGTTTTCTGACCCAAATGGAAGATGAGACCTTAAAATATGCATAAATCCCATCAGTGCAGCCGCCTGACTGGCTGTTTGTCAGGAGGAACAAGGAGCAGCTGAATCGTTACAGTGATTGATCAGACGGACTCAATTCGTTAAGATAGATTTGTGCTGCTCTTAATTAAATTAGTGAAAGTGAATTTGCCCCCAAGCAAAAAACACAAAAGCATCAACAGGAATTAAATTAAAGTCAGAAAGATTAAGAATAAAAACAGTTGAGATTTAAAGTAAGCCATAAATTTAACTAACGCTGCAACTAACAATTTTAGTTGATTATTCTCACGATTAACTGATTAATCGATTAATCAGATAAGAAAATTGATACATTCTGTAGATTTTTCATTTAAGCATTGTTTATACAAGATTAGAAATACATTAAAAGATAAAAAAAAACCAATCCAATTCTTCTTTTAAATAAGAAAACAAACATTTTGTTCCCTAAAGTGCAATAACATTTCATTGTAGCAAAGGTAAGGTAGTTTTATTTTTATAGCACTTTTTCAGCAACAAGGCAATTCAAAGTGCAGCTACAAAAATACTTATGTTTTTAAATTAATAAAAGTTATTTTGCCCCTGTGCAAAATAAAACAAAACAAAACAAAAAAAACAATATTGTTAAGTTTTTGTTTTAACTTTAACAGAGCTGGAGCTTTTAACCATAAACCAAATGCTGGAAAATGTAACTTTTTATAGGAAATTAAAAGGTGAAATACATTAAAGACTAAACTATACTGCTCAAAAAAGTAAAGGGAACATTTCACTTTAATTTTGTGTGTGGCTCCAAATCCAGGCCTCCATTGGTTAATAAATTTGATTTCCATTGATGATTTTTGTGTGATTTTGTTGTCAGCACATTCAACTTTGTACAGAACAAAGTATTCAGTGAGAATATTTCATTCATTCAGATCTAGGATGTGTTATTTGAGTGTTCCCTTTATTTTTTTGAGCAGTGTATTTTCTGTAAAGACCAGCAGGTGGCGCTGTGCTGTCACCAGAATCCGGCTGAAAAGGAGGTCAGCTCTGATGAAGAGGGCGACTGCTGCCTTTAAGAACAGCAGAGTGTTTATTTCACTCATCCATCTTCCTCTGACTTTCACTCTGACTCTTATGAATCTCAGGTTCGGTCTGTTGACATCGCCGCCAGCAACTAAAAACCTTCCACTTCCTCCGCGTTTCTTTTCCAGCATCCATTGTTTTCTCTCCTGTAACATTTTATCTCTGACAGCCTTTTTTTTCCTACACAAAACTGGCTTCAGCTAATGGCTGATGTCACCTTCATATCCCTGGAATAAATCAGTATATAAACCACTTGGATCATCAGAAACTATATATATACACACATACATTTTAACTAAAATGATATCAACCTTCATAATTTCTCTCCATGATAAATATATCTGGGTCACATTTGATCTAAATTAGTTTCCATCTCTGCTGACATTCAGACTGATGTGCCAAAATCAAAAATATTTAATATTCTCCAGAGTCTCGGTTCTTTTTATTCAATTTTTACAGTAAAAATATAAAAGATGATTTATGAAAAATGTCAATAGAGGCCAGACTTTAAAAATAAAACCTACAAAAATGGCTGGAAGGAAGAAAAACTGGACAAACAGATGCATGGAAACGGTTTTCAGACGATGTAATCAGTAAAAATTGAAAAATCCTTTCATTAAATTCCAGAGTTTTCCAGATTTCTCAGTAAATCTGATTTAAACAAAATGTTTTGACTGAATTTGTCTCATTAATGTCCTAGCTAAAGTTTGCTCGGCATCTTGCGAAACAAAGTCCAGTTTTTAATCCCTCTCAGATATTCTCCCTAACGACCGAGGTCGAACTCGTTCTGCGTACGTACAGAATCTGAAGAGCCGAGATCTTGTCCTTGAGGAGCTCCTGTGCTTTGTTGAAGTCCGACAGCATGTTCTGGGTCTCCCTGCTGTGGGCGGCGCTCAGCTCCGTCAGCTCCCGCTCGTGCCTCTTCGTCAGCTCCTGTTCATGAGCCCTGAGGAAGAGGAAGAGCTGAGTGAATCGCAGCATCGACCTGCTGAACTCTGCAGGCGGGAGTCAGTGGTTGGTTTACACACACAGAACCTGAGCTGCATAAAATCAGTTTATAAAGAAACGATGATAACATGTCGTTTTCTTACTTGGAAAAACATAAATGTCAAGTACAGATGAATAATTCAGCACTAAAAGCTCAGAATTGGGTGATGAATTTGGGAAAACTTATGCAGGTTTTATTTTAAAATTGTTTTAAAAGTATAAAAAAGTTCCTTCGAAAACAAAATCAGATTGAACATTTAAACAATTACCCACTTTCTGACTGAAAACTTTAATGTTTGCCAGCATTTTAAAGGAGTGTGGCGTTAAGTCTGGCGCCATCTTTTGGCAAAGCTGCCCACTGCAGCCGTTTCCTACATAATCAGAGTAAACATGAATGGAAATGTGGTTTAATTAATTATGTTTTATCCTGTATTTTAACTAATATCTAAAATAATTAATTTCATAAATGCAACTCAAATTGTAGAACGACAAAAAATATGTGACTCCATTAAGGACATTTTTATCGGAAAGTACTGGCTCCGGACGGACGGACGGATGCATGACATCATGTCCATCCTTCATTTCTCTTTCTTGATCTGAACCAATGAGAATTTGTTATGGCCTTCATCGCCATCATGGCCGCCTTCATCAGGCTCTGCGCCGTTTTCCAGCGGAGCAGAACTGAAACAAATCTCCCCTTTCATCCCATCCAGCTCTGCGGCGCGGTGACGCAGACAGAAAAATAAATAAAGAAACAGATTTCATTTTAATCTGCAAATGGCCGACGTTTCGCCTGAAGACTCAATCAGGACGCGGCGACTGCGTGCGTCTCCCGGGAGAAAACATAATTGATTGCTCTGCAGAGGAAGCGGGAGTGAGATTGGAAAAAGGAGACGCACGATGCATGGAAATAACTCAAACAACAAACTGCATGAAAACAAACAATGGCTGTAATTAAGATGAAGAGGAAAAAAATCCACCACATGAAAGCAGTAAATGTGACGATAAATAATTTATTACGTCAAATAAACGATGGTAGGAGCTGATGGAGGGTCGTTTGATGAAAAAAGGAGAAGAAGGGATAATGAAGGAGTCTGCCGCTCACTCCGACTTGGCCAACTCTCCCTGAGGGGCGCACATCTTCCTCTTCCTCTTTTTTTATTTATCAGTCTATTTTTAACCACAATTCAGACGTTATGTAACAGAAGAGGCCTGTCAGCGAACTAACGGCGAATAACGGCGCAACAGGAGGGTGGCTGAAAAAACAAAACAAAGAACCTTTAAACACATAAAGATGACTGATTTCAGCGCATCAGCTGCAGAAAACTGCAATAAAAATTCACAGAGCCGCAGGGAGCAACATGGCTGCACATCAGGATTTCACCCAAAATAACCAAGATTCCCAATTTGATGATTTACTGAGGAGAGCGAGGCGTCATCAAATATAATCAGAGGAGTTTAAATTTAGCACCAAAAGGTTGGAGACAGACTCACTGCTTACTGGATTTAAAGGAAACCTGTAATTCTTCCTTTAACAGGGCAGGGTAGGTCTGTGGCCTAAACAAAACATGTCCATTATACTTTTTGCACAAAATTATTCTTAGATAATGAGATTTTAGTCTGCCTAGCCACGCCCCCCCAACTCAACATTTACACGTAAAAATGGCTGCAAACAGATGAGCAATTATTAAAACCGCAGTACGTCTTTGAAAAGCAGAATTGGAGCCTTCTACACAACCAACAAGAATAGAGCAAGTAGTTTCTGGATGTCAACAAAACACTTTTTAATGTACACACTGTGCGCACAGCCATAAAACCAATTGGCCAAATGTGCTGGAACTCAGCTGTGGTTGCTAGGTAACGGGGCTGAAGGTGGCTTGGGTTGCTAGGTAACGGGGCTGGGCGTGGCTGGGGTTGCTAGGTAAAGGGGCTGGGTGTGGCTGGGGTTGCAAGATAACGGGGCTGGGCGTGGCTGGGGTTGCAAGGTAACGGGGCTGGGCGTGGCTGGGGTTGCAAGGTAACGGGGCTGGGTGTGGCTGGAGTTGCAAGGTAACGGGGCTGGGTGTGGCTGGGGGTGCTAGGGAACGGGGCTGGGCGTGGCTGGGGTTGCTAGGTAACATGGAAGGTCACTTAAGAACTGGGAGGTTTTTGAAACGGCTCATTTTCCAGACACCAAGAAACATTAACTGATTAAAAGCAGCTGGATGGTTTTCTTTAAGCTCTGGCCTGTTTTTAGAAGCAACTTAAGAGGATGTGAAAAAAAATTAACAAAATGTGAATTTTGCACAATACGTTCCTTTAACATCTTTAAAAGCTTTTCTCTCAACATGATTTACTGAAACACTGAAGTTGCAGTGTTACTCCAGTCTACATTAAATAAATGTTTTACACAGAGCTTCACTCTTTTAATTGATAACGTAGCTCTCTAAAACACCAATAATTCATTTTAGTTTGATTTAAAAGCCTAAACTCAAGGCATCTCAAACTGTAACTGGATCTGGCAGCGAACGCCAGAGGAAAACGATCTTTTGGGTTTCGTCGTACCGGATCTGCTGGTTGGCTTCGCTGCGGATCTTCAGCACCTCTTTGCCCTTCAGCTCCAGCTCCTTGGTCAGGGTGCTGATGTTCTCATTGAGCGTGTGGATCTGGTGGTCCAGCTGAGCGATGTGGCTCTTCCTCCGGGAAACCTCCTCCTGCAGCTCAGAGATCCGGCTCAGCAGGTCCCGCTCCTGGAACCAGGGAAAAGTTCAGTCCGATCATCAGCGCCATGCTCCTTCTAAAGGTTTGAGACGCATCCATGTTCAAGCACTTTCAAGGTAAGTTTCCAAACTTTTCTAGCATCACTTTACAGATGAAAACAATACAAATGGAGTAAAAAAAGACACTATTTTAACACATCATGTATTACCGTTATTAATGATGTTTTGTGATAAACAGCAGGGACAAAATAAACTACAATAACATTAATTTAACAAAAAAAATCTAAAAATGTCAACAAAGTTTTTAATGTATAAAATATAAACCAAATTAGGAAAAAAAAAAATTCATTACATTGAAACAATCCAAACAAACTGAAGGTAAATTACCTTCTTGCTCAAATTAAATGCTTAAACACAATATATAAAGAAAATCTCTGTAGGTTTTGTGGCATTTAATAAACAGAAATAATTTAGCTGGTTTTAACTGACCTAAAATAGACGAAGTTTAGAAATCAAGCACTTTCCAAACCTTGAAAGCATCAAATTAAAAAATTTTCAAGGATTTGTATGAACTCTGTACAGAATCCTGCTGATTGTTTAATTATTAGATTCAGCTGAATATGAACAGAGAAACATCTAAAAGTTGGTTCATATCAAAGTGTATTAATGTATTAGAAAGGCCTAGTCAAAGTTCTGACTTAAGTTCAACTAATGAAACCTGAAAATTAACAATCAAAATTAAACCCAGCTTTAATGTTTATCTTTCCTTTAATCCTGAAAATAGAAATAAAACGCTGATTCTTTAAAAAATAAATTTCAAAAAGTCTTGAGGCATCTGTGGCTCTAAATGAATTTTTTGGCTTTTCTGAGAGCAAAATGGCTCTTTGGGTCGAAGGAATCGCTTTGTGACAGAACGTTTTCCCTCAGGGAGGACGGACGGTGCAACACTTTCCTGACCCGAACCCGCAGCGTTACTGGGTTAACTGGTTTACAGACAGATGGAGGAGAAGGATCCCAGTGAGGAGGAGGAGGAGGAGAGACGCCAGCGACTGAATCCAGGCGCCGGCCTGACATCCTCTCTGGAGCCGGATCAGAGGTTTCAGGAACATGTTGGCTGCCCAATAATAAAAACCAAAGCGAAGGAATGCCAGGCCACCGTTTGGCTTCACAAATGCACATAAAAATGGTGGAAACTGGGAGGATTTTAGATAAAAGAGGGACAAACAGGAGGAATGTGTATTTAAGGCTGCAGCTAACGATTAGATCTGTAATTATTTTATCAACTTTCTGATGATTAATCAGATAACAAAACAAAGATTTTTCATTTTACCGTTTAAGCCTTTTTTATACAATATTAGAAACACATTAAATTATTATTATTATTATTATTATTATTATTATTATTTGTTTAATAAAATGCCACTTGAGTTTTGGTTAAAACATATTAAACATAGTTTTCTTTTTTTATCTTAAATGCAAAACATACATATTTTATATTTTGTATTTAACTTAATTATTACTCTGAGTGTGTTGTTGTTTTTTCAGAAAACTGCATTTTGTTGAGTCTGTACTCGAGTTAGTGATTAATCAGTTATTAAAATTAGTTGACGATTATCTCCACAATCAATCACGATTAACGCGATTCATCTAAAGCTGAGAAATGCCTCTCCATCCCTGTCCCTTGCAAATCGAAATACAAATTGCACAAACTTTGGAGGAATATTCATTTTAGTGCTGCAACTAACAATTATTTTATTGATCGATTATTCTATCGACTATTCTGACTATTATTGAGTGATCGGATAAACAAAATTAATTACCGTATTTTCCACACTATAAGGCGCACCTACAATGAAAGGCCTATTTTAAAACTTTTTTCATATATAAGGCACACCGCATTATAAGGCACATAGAATAGACGCTACAGTAGAGGCTGGAGTTACGTTATGCATCCACTAGATGGAGCTCCACTAAAGGGAATGTCAATAAAACAGTCCGACTCCGGTCGGCGAGGAGAACCTTCTGCGACAGGGCCGGAGCGTGGCCGATCAATGGCCACCCTTCTCTGTTCACACACAGCATGTTGGTGGAGAACGTGGTGCTAAATGACCTGCAGACGACCTGATTCTAGACGGTCGGTAGGTAGATAGGTCAGTCAAACTTTATTAACAAACCAGCGTTCTGACAACTATCCCAGCATGCACCGCGCGCTTCTTCTTCTATGGGCGAAAATGAAGTCGGCGGCTGCTTACCGTAGTTGCTAGACCCGTTGTGGCTCAATATTGGTCCATATACAAGGCGCACCGGATTATAAGGCACACTGTCGGCTTTGGAGGAAATTTAAGGTTTTTAGGTGCTCCTTAGTGAGGAAAATACGGTACTGCTTTGAATGTGCTGTTTTTCAGCAAATGGCCTTTCATTGAGTCTGTATACTCCAGTTAACGATTACTAAATTAGTTGACAGTTATTTCCATAATCGATTAATCGTGATTAATGGTTTAATCAATAAAGTGAGGAATGCCAGTCCATCCTTCGAATCAGCAAATTTACACAGAACGTCTGCAACCAGGGAGGAACAACAGGAATTAGTGATAAAACGGGCAGAAACGTCAGAGGAATATTTGAAGTTTGTTCCTTATTCTATCAACTATTCTGATGATTAATCGATTAGTTGACGATTATTTCAATAACTGATTCATTGTGATTCATAGCAATTTAATCGTTTCAGCCCTAATTTATTTGAAGAGCAGTTTAAAACACTGAGATGCTTTCCAATGATCAACCTTGGAAACAAAAACATCTAATTATCAGAGAAAACCTGAAGCATCTTCAATCAAACCAACCCCTTAAATTAAATGTTTTCAGGTGAATCTGATGTTAATTGTCTCTTTGAAAAATCTCAACCTGAAGCTTGTTGGTTAAAATATGCTGCTTATTTCCAGGCAAATGAGATTATAACAATAAGATTTTGGGTGAAGTGCTTTGAATCCTCTGAACATAAAAGACAACGGTGCTCCAAACTGCCAGATGACGGCATATAAACATGACCAGTGGGTGAAATTACTCATGGCCACCTGCTGAGCTGCTCTCTTTTCCTTCTCAGCTCCTCAGGGACTCGAGACGTTTCTGTTGTGGTGTGAAACAGAGAATATGAGCAGCGATTTTCCTCCCAGCTGGGAGAGGAGGCAGCGGACGAACGGTGCGTGGGTTCAATGAGGCGCCCACACAGAGGCCACACAATGAGTCCGTTATCAGGACGTCACCACCGAGTGACGCGTCCGAAACTTCAACATGTTTTCCACTTTTAAAGGGAACCAACATCTTTTTAAACAGAGTTTTGACACGTTTTAGCTCAATATTACGTCACCAGGAACCCAATGGACTAAAAACTAAACGATGTGGATGAGCCAAAACTTTATTCAGCTGAACAGAAACAAAATCAAAATTATTTTTTTACCTAAAGAGGAACGATCTAGAAGTTATGCAGGGAGAATATTATGTGAAAATATTAAATTAACACCAGGAAGTTCCAACAAGGCACTTGGTCAAAAGTTTTAGAAAGTAATTCTATCAAACACTGATGAAATGTGAAGAAATACAGCAGATAAAAAATATTAATTCACTTAAAACAGGCATTTTATCTGATTTAACGGCTCAAATTAAATGTTTATTTCAATATATAAAGTGCAGCTGCAGTAATCAGTTCCAGTGTTTTCATAATTTGTAGACTTATTTCACGTTTAAACCTCCATTTTAACCTCCCCCAGATAAATCAAGGTTAAATAGACATGGTTATATCTATTTTTGTAAAACTTAATAAATAAATGCAGCTGCCATGTAAGTCTAGAAACCAGACCAGCCAAGTTTACGATTAGAGACAAATTTGTTCCTTTAATGAGGCTTGAAAAGGAGAAAATGTTTTATCTGATGTATTAGAGAATCAGAAACGTTACTGATGATTGAGCCTCACTTTAAAACATTTTAACTAATTCAACTTGAATTTAAGACAATTTATATGATTTGTGCTCAGTTGCTAAAGGCCAGATTATTTGTTCCAAACACTTTCCTCCTCTTTAAAAACCTAAACTTCTTCTTCACTTTTCTGTTCGTTCTGTAACCGTGAAGAATAATCCCAAACAGAGAAGTCAATCTACAACAAAATAGAATCAAAGTGCTTTGATGGCCTAATCAAAGTCCAGATCTCAACGTGATTGAAACGCTGTGGTGCAAATCGAAATAAACCGAGTTATTCCTGCTAAAAGTGATTAAATATTTTCCATTTTGGCTTCATGTTTGTTCAGTAAAGGTGATATTGTGGAATCTGTGGTGTTTTTGTACAGCTGGGGTTAAACTGATATCTTGTCCTGAAGTCGATTATTTTCCTTTTACCACTAAAACGGATAAATCCACAAGTTTAGTAATGACAGAAAAGACGGCAGCAGCTCTGAGCGTAACCTTATCGTCTATTTTAGAGCAGAGGAGTAGAAATAAAACAGAGCGTACAGCGATCAGATCATTTAACGTAAAGTTTCTGTTTCCTGACCTGAAACATTTCTAAAAGCTCGGCGGGTCGCAGTCAGACGGAGGAAGTGAGAGCAGAAAGGAAGGAGCGGTTTTAATCCGCAGCGACCAAACAGCGACTTCTGGCTTCAGAGAGATAACAGAGCCGCTTGCTGGGCGACGTCCCGAAACACCGCAGACGCTTTTCTATTCCAAATCTCCTCTGGAGGCAGAAAATATTCCCTCAAAGAAACATTTTCAGGCCCAGGAAACAAGTCCTGTCGCAGAATGTTTCTGTGCTACAGAGACGAGTGATAAGGTAACCGTTTTCTCATTACGGCTGAGAACCTCACGGTGTTTTATTGGGACTTTATGTCAGAGAAATGCAAAGTATTGGAAATGATTGATGGGGCGCAGCTTTTTAAAACATCTTACAGAAACAAATTACTTTGACCAGATTTCTTTGCAAACTTCCTCAAACTCAGATTAGACGGAGAATGCCTCTGAAGATGGTCACAAGTTTTAACTGG